CCTTCCTTCCCCAGCTACCCCGCTCTGAATCGCCAGAGCAGATCCCCAATGTCACCCAGTTGACCAACCCCGAGATCGACCGTCTCTATAACGAATACGAACGCGAGCTCTACGCTCCACGTAACCCCTCCCCCATCCTCGATGCCGACACCATCTCTATCATCATCCCAGAGTTGGATGAATGCCCTCCCGCATCACCTGTTCTCAACCCCGACGATTGGGTACCCACCGAGACGGTCCCACACCTCTCTATTGGTTCTCCAGAACCCCTCCCCACTCCGCAACGCCGAAATCACCGTGCTCGTGCACGATCCATCTTGTCCCTAGGACTACCCCTCTCTCATGCGCATCGACCGCGCACCCAGAACTTCACTAGGCACTATCCTCGCAAGGAAGCCCAGGAAGACGCCATCAACGACGCACGTCGTGATGCCACCGAGACCACCCAGGTCTACCGCAGCAACGTTGTCTGCCGCCAGTGCCGTGTCTACGGACATAAACAGAAACACTGCGCGCAATACTTCTGCCGCATTTGTGGGCAATTTGCCCCAAAACATCTCACTCCTTTCTGCCCTCGACTTGACGGCAGGAAGATCCTTCGTCGTGGAACCTCTTCCGACCGGTTCTACAGGGACATGCAGCAGCTCGAAGCTGCGTATGACCAAGACGCTGCTCGTCTTGAGCAAGAACGCGAAGAGAATGCAATCGAAGCCGCTTCCTGGCTCGAAGACCTCGACTTCGACCCCGCATGGTATAACAACCAGGACGACTACGTTCCTCTGGACGACGATTAAAGAGTTCGTGGAACTCTACCTTGAAACGGGGGTAATGTTACAAGTAACATCGGCTACATGGCCCCCCTATCATTTTTCCCCTTCGTCCTCGCCCTCGTATGCCTCCGGCTCGCACTTCTCTACCGACTATCCGTTGACCGGATCCTCGGGACCGTTCCTGTCCCTCATCCCCCTCCTATCGCACCAACGTGCGCACGTGCCTTCGGGCTATGACTCGTTCTGACTCGTGCCACCAATGTGGCTTTCCTTATCTTGTCTTATCTTTCCTTTGACTCGTGCATGCTGCACATTGTATCATTTACCGTTGGCTCGTTCCAACGTTTCTCGGTCTCATTCCGCATTCGACCTTACATCACTAATCAGGCTCTGCCACCATCGTACCTATACCCTTTCCGTTTCCCCTTTGCCCTTACCTACAGTACGGTAGCCTTGCCCTTAACCCTTTCCACTTAGTATAAGTAGTCGGTCACTCTGTACTAGATTCCCTAACTTGAATCTACTCAATCTTCCCTCGAACATACTTCCCTCTGAAGCCCCCTCAGCTTCAGTCTCTAGTATCTTTTCTTAGGTGCTCATCGCGCCTAAGTCTACCTCGATCGACCACCTCATCGTTCGGACAAGACTGTCCTTACTTTGAGACCGTCAGTGACTTTGAAGACATCCGTCTTAGAAGTCACGTGACACGCGCGTCTCTGATATCTGCCGACTCGACGTCGCCAGTCTCAGTCGCTACACCGGACCCTTCCGGTTACGTCACGAACGTTAGCGGACGACGCCCCTCTTAGGGCTCCGCATAACAGATCTATTTGAGTGCGTAACAATAGTGTTTTCTTAGTGCTGTCTATCTCTCCTGGGACTGTCTTTTCAAATATCACATGATACTTGCAAATTGCAAGTCATACTGTTCTTACAATATGTAAATTGCTAATATTAGACTGATATATTTATATATAGACTATAATATATGTGAACAAGTTAATAGTGTCATATCCCATATATTCACGCTTCTCTTCCGGACTTCGGACCCTGAGATCCGATCCGGTCCGATGTATAGATCCGCTTCCGATCCGATTTACGATAAGCTTTCTAATTCATTTCCTGTTCATATAACGTTAAACACAGCCTATTCGGTATTTCCTCTTCCCGGTGTTTTGGTTATACTTATTACCGGTATGATTACTGATCTGTTAACCTATGTCTCATTTCCGACTCACGTTTGATAACCTTTGCACATGCTTCGTACATAGCCTCGGACCTTTACTTACTGATACTTCCGTTATCCTCATAGTATATAAACTCGTGTATATGTCCTGTAGTACCTCAGTTCGAATATCATCTTAGTTTGTCCTCTTTCTGTCCTCCGGACTTGAGTCCTTCTTACTCTTGTCACCCTCCGAGACTTCGGATAGATTCCGATAGTCTATATCCTCGGCTCTACCTTCGGGTAGTCTTACTCTGTTAGTTTCTAGTTCGGATACATCCGGATTAGTCTTATATATGTTTCCGATATCCGGAAGACATCCGGATATACTACGAGACCCGTCCGGACCTTCGGACGCGTTATCGTTAGTACTTTGAAATAAGGGACAGTACTTGGGAAAGGGGCACAGCGTACAAGCTGAGGCCGAAGTCCTTCGGATCCGATCCTACGAGAGCATGACCTTAACAAATAGTTAACATAGTGAAAGTCCATGGTGTATAAGACCATGAGGCAGTAGAGGGTTCAGGGCAGGGAGAGTATGTAATCAATGAGGATAAGTAATGATTGATAACACGATAAAGATCAAAACCAACCTTCAACAAAATCAAGATGTCACTATGCAAAGGCAAGAAGAAAGCCACTAATGATGATGACAATGTGAGTGAATATAATGCTGAGTGAGGAAAATAATGTACAATATGGCAGAAGGTTGCCTTGAGTAGCAACACATTTAAATGAAATACCCGACTGGTGCAGGCAACATTGATGAAGGATGGAGTGGTGTTTGAAACCAAATGACATGATGTGGTGGTCGCAGTTATGAAGATTGGAATGGGGAATATCAACATCCTCATAATCATGAATATATTAAGATTGGTAACATACAACAATAGGCTGAAGGACAACATGCATATCAACAAAATGATTATGTCATTCAACAAGAACAGAATTCTGTGGGGGGTACGGGTGGACACACTTCTCGCATTGCACCAGGGAAAACACTAGAGGGGAGCTAGACTTATATGGTCAAAACAGAAATAGGTTTCAAAATTCAAAATTGCTTTCTCTTCCTGGGATGGTATATATTTTAGAGGGATACTCAAGGATTAATATGAGCCCAGAATGAAAGAAAACAGCAGTCGGGATGTGGAGATATTACCAAAATACTGACATTTTTGCACATGTAGCATATCCACATATTACAGTGACCTATCTCTATATAATACGAGGGAACAGACATGCATAATATCCCATATGATATTGGCCAGCGGACCATGGGCCCATGATAAAAATATCCTCGACTATGACGGATAGGCCGGAAGGCAAATTATTCCCAATGGAGGCGGGTGGGCCCATGCAGGGAATATATAGAGTAGATGAGTTGGCTGATGTACATGAATATTAGGTAGGTTGTCTTGCAGAATGTGAAATCCAGGGTGTGAAGCTTGTGTTGCCCTACGAGAAGCCAAGTTCTGAGCACCAGAATTTGAGTCAACTGTACTGAGCTCCAAGTTCCAGGACCTGGAACTCAACACATAATTTAGTTAATACTTTCTGTGTTGACATGGCCTTTGATGGTGCACAGGTTGTCTTGCAGAATGTGGAATCCGGGGTGCAAAGCTTGTGTTGCCCTATGAGAAGCCAAGTTCTGACCACCAGAATTTGAGTCAACTGTACCGAGTTCCGAGTTCCAGGACCTGGAACTCAACACATAATTTAGTTAATACTTTCCATGTTAAATGGCCAACCGAAGTTGAGATGTTTCTAAAGACAGCAGCAGGTGCTCTCTTGACATGGCCTTTGATACCAGCGTAGGTTGTCTTGCAGAATGTGGAATCCGGGGTGTGAAGCTTGTGTTGCCCTATGAGAAGCCAAGTTCTGACCACCAAAATGTGAGTCAACCATATTCAGAGGAGGTAATAAATCAAAGTTACCGAGTTCCCGGAGCGGCAGGTGATCTCCTGACATGGCAGTGCAAAGCTTGTGTTGCCCTATGAGATGCCAAGTTCCGACCACTCAAATTTGGGTCAACTGTACCGACTTCCGAGTTCTGGGACCTGGGAGTCGACAAATAAATATCTGATGACCAGCACACTTCCAATCAGGTAGTATTTCATTGAGCAATGGATAATAATACATCTTTGACAGCCAAAATTATCCCAGGCTCCCTTATCTGATCCTCTCTATCTCCACCCCCTTTAACACCAAAGTCCGGACATCCAGCATTCAGTGTCTGATTTTCCAAGATTGACATCCAGCATGAATGGTTCTTCCCCTTCCACTCCTGATAGCATAAACATCTGGCGCACTTGGGCCCTGACTGTGACTTATGAAGCAGGGGAATATACCGAACAGAAATTCAAGGCAGAGAAGACTGGAGGAGGCCCAGTCATACCTTCTCCCAACCTAGACACTGATCTGGTGATGGCATGCGATCACTTGGCTGATGTACTCATAAAGGCATATGAAAATCTCAGTGGGTCTTCCTGCAGATTCGGAAAATTTGTTTTATCATTCAAATTCCTGCATGAGAGTTCAGATGCAGATGGATATTGCAAGATATAGCAAATTGATCTCCCCGAAGGACACCAGGCATAATGAACAAAGAGAGGCAAAGTTGCTTGAGAGGTGTCCTCCTGGCCATGAAGGTAAAAGGTTGGTTGACGAACCTGCCACAATTCTTGATGCATCCAGTGCCATCATCAGATGGTACCTCCCAGACTATGCTGCTGAATCTGCACAAATATTATTGTGCCCCCCCAAAATAAAAAGTGTGCCTCCCCCGAAATTGAATTAGTGTGACACCCCGAAAAAGGAAATTGTGTCGCCCTGAAAACTATTGTGTGTCGCCCCAAAATTATATCATGTCGCCCAAAAAACAAAAGACTCATGCCAAAAAAAAAGTATGAAAAATTCAGGATAGTACTTTATTGAAGGCAAACTTAGTGACGATTGTAGACCAGTATGTATACTACTGGATGACTACCTGGATACGATCCATAATTTCACTCTTCTTCCTCTACAAGTCGGATAACTATTGCCTTGACATCACCTTCAATTGCAATTGCCTCATCAAAGGCTTGCTTGATGTGCCTCAAAAAATTGATGGCAGTTCCTTGTCTGCAGACACCATCTTGAGCAAGGGTTGTACTATGCTGGAAACAGGGTTGCATACTCTGTGGCACCAGTTGTCAGCAAAATTAAAGTGTGGAGCTGCAATGAGAGACAAAAATACCATGACTATGTCAGTGGCACATTTCACCACTACCTTGAGGGAGACATCCACATAATTTCCACCAGAACTACGACCAACATGAAGCTGACATTGCTCTGGATCCATGATAGCATGAAGAGTAACCCAGTTCATCGCATAAGGGGCATAGAGTTGGTCTGTGTGAATGGGGCTAGATGCGACATCGAAAAGTGGCATTACTAATTAGATGCAATCCACTTACGACTCATAATTCTGTGACATATATGCCTCAGAGGGAGCCCGCTCAGCTGTCGAAAAGCAGAGAGGACCACCAGGTAAGTCTAGGGTATACCCAAAGTCTAGGTATTATATGTAAGTTACCAGTAATGAAGATTATACATATGTAAGACACTCACCTAAGTCATTGCCTTTGACTGTATTGCAGGCAGGCCTGCCTCATCAATTGCCTCAATACATGATGTACTGACCTCAGCAGGGAGACTAGCTATGAGCAAGTTCCAGCTCAAAGCCAGAATTCCTAAAGCACAGGAGTCCTTCTGCTGCCTTGTAGCCATGGACAGCTTCTTCTTATTGGTAAAGTTGTTCACCAGACTGAAGACACGTGCATGACGAGGACCAGCATTCCAGCTGAACTGAACCAGCTCCCTCCCATGGGTAGGCTATCCAGCCCATCAGAAATATATCAAACTGAAAGGAGGAAAAACTCACCCTGACCCCCTTGCGGTCATTGACAGCCTCGTCGATGATACTATTGACATAAGTCAACAGGTCAGGATGCTGGCCATACTTGCTGCAGAGTACAGCGAGTGTAACAGATCCTATACACCCAATTAACCACATGCAGGAGACAGAAAGACTATTCATACCCTTAGAATTGACAAAAATAATGCTTTCATCTGGTTCAATCACATACCACGAATCATCCACAGGAACAGAAAGGGCAGTATCCCCACTACCAACCAGATCCTCATTGTCACGGTTCACTAAAAGTGTACACCGTTTATAGCTGGTTTTAGCAGAACGGTCACGAGTGACCATCCTGACTGTACCAGTGTCTGCAAGAGACTTGGCTGGTTCTAAGGAAAGTTCTTCCAGACATCTTGTCACACATTCCCTTCTCAGATAAGGTGGCTAGTTCGTGATACTAACCTGAGACACCTGTGGGCCAAATATGGCTCCACACTGTGTCCTACTCAAATTTAAGGACAAATTATTTGATTACAAGGCTGTGGTTGCAAAGACCAGAGTCAGAAAATATTTACCATTAGTTGTGGTCAAATATTCATGATAAAATGGTGAATACATATGGGTTACCTCGTCTTTCAAGCCTCTTAGGTAACATTGAACACTGATGGCACCATGACCATGTCCTGCTCAAGTCCTACAGACAAAGTGTACATCATCTTGTATTTTGACCTGCTTACCTGCCACTGATGGTGCCTCTGTCATGTCCTGCTCTTAGGACATGCATCTCTTGTCTTTTACAATTAACTTTATGCTCTAAAATCATACTCATTATCACAGGATGTTGGTAGTTTGCTTGGCCAAGTATGAAAATTCAAATTCAAATTATCTTATAGGCTGTGCACTTATGTAAACAATAACAACATGGAGTACTTGTATGACTGTATACATAACACCCATACTACATCTACAGATTCTACACTGCTATTCTACCATGATTCCTTCAGGTCAGCTGCTGTTGGAGGAGAATACATTGCTCATAATGCAGAAAATAATCAATTGTGAAATCCTTGAATTGAGCTCACTGGAGTGGAGGGCTGAAAGAAATGATGTGTCGGATAATGGGTGGAATACAAACGAAGACGAAGACGAGTTACTGGCAGCTACATACAATTGTGAAATTTTGGATGCCTCATTGTATTATATGATAGAAGATAAATGTCCACAGGACAGGCAAAAAAAGAAGGTTGTCAAATCAAAAACCAATTGTGAGTCCATGAATCATCATCTCTTACATATGTGTCAATGAGGATTAGATAGAGAAACAAATCAGAAGCAAGTATTTGCCATGCACAAGGTGGAATTCTTGACTCATACTCAGCAACCTAATTGTGGAAAATGTGTCATTTTTCCCAATACAGTCCTTGAGGAACCGTTAGCTATACAGCAAGGGGAAAATTCAGTTGGACATATACATGCTGCATCTGTCAGGTGGAAGGGTACAAAGCCATATCAAAATCCCACAACTGCTCAGCATTGTGAGGAGGAAATGACAATAGAGGAAGATATGTGTACCAAACTCCAGGCTGCTATAGGAGCCTATGGAATTGTAAACGAGGGGGAAGCTGCAAATAAAGTGGCTTGACAGTGTGAATGACCAAAAGAATACCTTGTGGGACAACAGGATAAATGTAGGTCCAGTAATCTATACTCATGAGGTATATGATTGACTGTTGAGTCAGTCAGCTTAGGATATACAGCATCAATACATGCCACTGGTTGGAGTGAAATGCATAATGACAGAAATGATGCTGAACAACAGGACATCTATTCTATTATCCACATACCACAGTTGGATGGTAAGTCATCTCTTGTGATCTGACCATCTAATTGTCATGTTTTACATAGGTATCATGGATGTGATGGCATCAGCCAAAATCCTGAATTAGGCTCCTAATGGATCTAGGGGTGTAAGCCCTCATTACAGTGCAGAACATAATCTACATAATGACGAGGGAATGACTGAAAGAGGGGACAATCTCACTTAACTACAAGCTGCCATAGTAGCTTGTGGAATTTTTGATGAAGGGGCTGCTACACATGGAAGGAAGGCTGTAGTGGAGAAGCAAAAAACTGAAACTATGCAACAGCAGGGAAGGCGAAATAAAAACGGGCAAGATGACGGGATAATTGTAAGTGCTTTACATCCACACCATGGACCGGATGTTAATTTTGGAGTCATCCTACTCAGGAGATATCGAGGCAATGCAGGTAGACATTTAGAGTGAGAAACAACTGCAGAAATAGTGGTAGAAAGCAGGTCTTCCATGTCAGTATTCATGCAGTTCCTATTAAACCTGTGAAGCCACAGAATGCAGTCAAGCAACAGTGGGGAAGGCCAAATAAATGAGCAGGGAGAAAATCAAACAAGGAATTGACTGGGTTGCACAATCACAATTCCATATCTCTACATGCTGTTGGAACACACATTCCAGTGGCTCCTGATAAACTCCCTCAACCCAACAATGTGGGTGATTTGCAGAGGTTTGCATTTGCCAGAGCTTCTCGCAAAAGGGTCTCAACCTGGAGTCAAGGAGTCATGGAGTGATTCCCTCATCTAACTATGGCAGTACTCCTACCAGTCTACACAGGTGTCATATCCCATATTCCAGACCTACATCCGATAATATTCCCACGCCTCATCTGGACCTTCAGATGTCCTATCCATGTCTCCAGTACTCATCCAGATCCCTGCACCTCTGCACATCCACATCCACATGTCCACATCCAGATCCCTTATCCTTCACAGCTAGCCTGCATCATCCATCCTTGTCCGATCGCCCTAATGCCACATCCTATATATCCACGCATCTCATCCAGACCATATCCGATCTGGTCCAATCTGATGTATACATAGATCCGTTTCCTATCTGATATACGATAAGCTTCATAATTCATTTCCTGTGCATATAATGTTAACACAGCCCATCCGGTATTCCTTGTTACCGGTACCTCAGTTATATCTATTACCGGTATGCTTACTGATCCATTAACCTATGTTCATTTCCGACTTGCATTTGTCAACCTTTGCATATGCTTCATACATAGCCTCGGACTCTGCTTATTGATCCTTCCATTATTTCTCTTAGTATATAAACTCGTGTATATGTCTTGTAGTACCTCAGTCTGAATATCATATTAGTCCTCACACTAGTCTTCACTCTAAGTCCTCATATCAGTTCTAGTCTTCCAACTTAGTTGTTATCCATCTCAGGCCTAGGGAGTTTCTCCCTAGGCCGGAGCTCTGCTTATCTGATACTCCGCTCATCTGCTCATCTGATCCTCCGTAGTTTCCGGAAGTTCATCCGGATCTTTCCCGCAGTCCTCCGGACCTATTCTGCTTCGGACTTTGTCTTTGCAGCCTTTCCTCTGTTTACTTCTACTCAGGACAAGTCCTGAGTAGCCATTATACATATCCGTATCAGGACGAAACCTCATCGTAATTTCCGGAAGTTACTTGCACCCGTCCGGAAAGTCCTTCCGAAGTTTCCCACACCTTTGGATGTCCTTCGGACGTCTTCAGACTTTCCTCGGACACCAATCTGAAATTAAGGGCACATATTCGGGTAAGGGGCGCAGTGCACGAGCTGAAGCCAAGCCCCTCAGAATCAGTCCTACCCTTTGTGCATGGTCTTAACAACAGGATGCAGATGGTTGATGGATGAATTGACACCCAGTCAATGGTAGAGCAATCACATTGATTCTGCAGGACGTTGTAGAAACAACAATACTGTGAGGAACAAATGATGCTCCTGACTGTATCTAAAAAATGTTGTAAGGTCACGCATTGCCTAGTCTGCGTTACTTGAGGAGACAAGTGCGTTCGACCTTAAAGGGGAAGTGAGTGCAGCGAAGATCTAGAGGTACACGCTGAAGTGAGGTGTGGGAACACGCGCGCGTATTGGCGCGAAGCGTGGGAAAGCGCGCACACATATGCAGAAATGATAGAGACTAAGCTTAAGTGATAATATAATGCAAGATAAGTGAAGAGAGATGCGAAGTATAAGTGAATAGATTTCTACTATTGTTCTTCTAGGTAAGGTAGCAGTCGTGCGGATTCTACCTACCTCACGTGATTGTGACTGACTGTGGCGCAGCACAGGATAAGTGTGTAAGCAGGTGCGAGAATTTCTGATATTTCAAATAACAAATGTTCTACTCCATTTCTGTTAATTCTGATTAACAGAAAATGTCCGCAGTATTACTACCAATGTAACTGTGTAGCCATTTAATGCATAAGGCTTCTGATTAATTGATATTACAATTTTGTCTTCAGTCACTTTTTCATCACACTTGTCACGTGAGGTAGGTAGAATCCACATGACTGCTACCTTAGATAGTGGGTAAAGTTGGGTAAGGTAAGGTAAAAGTAGTGTCATAGTATTATGTACTGCTGGCACTTATATAGCGCGCCTAAGTGCTGTAATGCAGAGCCGAAGTGCTACTGAGTAGGTATGTAGAGATATATATAAGTAAGGGTCCATGATAAAAATAAGGTGGAATAATATACAATGAGAGAAACGGAAATATACGCACTAGAGAACTTGGAGGACAGTGGATGGATGCATCTGGATGGCTGGCACTATAGGGCGCTCTAGCGTGGGAAAGTGCGCACGCATATACATCGTGAAGCGTGGGAAGGGTGCGCGCATGGCGCACATTGCGCGGGAAAGCTGCACCTCATATAGGGATAGCTGCGGGTAGCACACAGAGTGACACTACAAGTTCATGCTATGTATGTACTCCTTGGTGGAAACTGCCATATCACGCCATGAGACGCACGAGTCTCTACAACGTGATTGACATATTTTACGATATGGTACGACTTCCATCAATTGGCCACTCCAGCAACACCAGCTGGAACCCTTACCTAAAGCAAACCCTCGGGGAGGCAAGATATAAGAACAGGAGTGCTCCTTGTTGTTCAGGCAAACAGGGAGCTCCAAAAACAATTCCTCTGTCTAATGACGACTTCATCCAGGTCCAAAAACATGTACAGGAGATCATCACAGATGGACTTGAGCAGTTAAGTATGTATAGCTTGTGTTTCTTTGTACTCAAGGGAAAGGAATAAAACTCCTCACAAAGGATGACCAGAGAGGACAATATAGCAGGCTAGAAGAAGCACTGATTGAAAACCTCCCAGACCTTGATTGGCATCATATGTAGGATAGGACATGCAGGGAGATGTTAGTCGATGTGGGCGTATCGTTTACACCACATGTATCAACTGTTCCTGTGGTTGGTCTTTGGAGATTAGACACCTTGGAGGCCTCATTTGGAGCAGGGGGGTACAAAAGGGGAGAAATACATCATCATAATACGCTCTCCAGATATGGTGCAATATAGGCAGAGATGCAACAGGAGAGGGCTCATCAGATCCATGTCGCATTCAGGAGTGCATACAACCTTTACTATGAAGCTGTGCGAACTACCAGAAATAAAGTGAGCCTCACTGCTGCAGTGATGCTTACAAAGTGTCTCCATCATACATGGCGGAATGCTCTGAGATCATGACAACTTTGACTGGTTGTAAGAGAAAGACATGTAAAGATTGGGATGAGTACAGGGTCAGTGGAAAGGCTGCCATTATTATTCTGAATGATATTATTTCAAAGGTGAGCAATTTTAAATCTAGTACCTTGACACAACACTAATTACCATACACCAAGGTGGAAGAATATATACAATCTGACCTGATCCTATGGATACCATCTGACCTATGGTTCAAGTTCATCATGAGGTGAGTGTGAGATATCCAGAGAACACAAATCACCATTATTCAAAAAAAAAACCCAAACCTGGGCATCCTCACTGGCATTCTTAACCATTTGCTCTTGGCCACGACATCAACTCTTATAGTCTTTGACAGTCATGTATGAGAGTCTCTCACTCTGATCAATTATAAGACAGTATTAGAGACTGCTGGCATGCTCTTCCTCCAATAATTTGATATGTCTACCACTATATGCCTCAACAAAGTCCAGCAAGTCGATGATGTACATGTCCTCGCTCTCATAGGCAGAAATGCAAAGACATAAAGAGACAGGGCAGTTGGTATAGCTGTGGAATGTGGAAATGTTGATTCAGAATCAAAGGAGTTTCCCCTTTCATGAGAGATTGGACATTGCCTGTGACACTTTCCAACACCTCATTGTCAAGTGGCTGAATTTTTATCATGTTTACAAGGCAGATATGGCTGATACTCGCAGATGACATGTTGAAGGGTATCAAGCCATACCCAAAATCACTGAGGATGCAATGATGTGTTGGATGGTAACAAGCATGGATGATACCTTTGCATTGGTCACCTTGGAAGCCTGCAATGTACGATCCAACATTGTGACAATATATGCAAAAAAAATGTTAATGACATTCTTTTATTGTAGCAGTGCTACATATTATACAATTGTGGGTTTCTTGATGTTGTCTTGAATGCTTTTGATGGCACTGGTCTTCCACCCTATTCATCAATATCCATTGAGCTAGTCTCTTCTGCAATAATCTTATTTTGAAAGTATTGATAAACATGCTCACATGTTTAAGGTTAATGATAATGTATTAGACCCAAATGCCCTCCCTTCTACGATGGAGGAGTGGAATACATAGTTGAGGATCACATTTAAACATGGCAACACACAGGTGTTTGTGAAGCTTGGAACATGGATGCTTCTATGATTTTAACAACTTGCAATGCTCAATCTCAATGACAATGTGAATGAGATCATAATGTCCCAGGATACTCAAACACTGACATTTGACCATGGAGATCAGTTCCTTGAAGTGTTAGGAATGGAATATTTATATTCCACCATAGTTCACATCAAATTACGACCCCACTTCCTCAGTCACCTCTTTCATGCTCTTGGAAGGGCAGCCAATGAGTCAA